ATGGAAATCCAAAAATGGATTTAAATGGGCTACATAGAATGTGCCAAAGATCATCAAGAAGTTAAGGGTTAGTCACCTTTATTGCCTTTATTTTTTACTGTTAGCTTTGCTTTTTTCCTTGATAAATGCATGCTTTTGTTTTGAAGATGCTCATTCTTCATTACAGGGTGTTTATTCTAATGCCAGTGTATTAATCAAAATGTTTGCATGTGCCATGCCCAGTCATATCTGTCACATAGTGACAGGAACAGAGTGGTTTAATGGTATGATTTCCTTCAGAGAACAATAACAGAATGGAGGAAAGCTTACCTGTGACTAGGTTTACTTCAGGGAAATAGATGTTTACAACACAAGTTGCCCATAATCATCATACCTGTTAGGGAAATAAATAAAACACCTAAAACATCCTGCTCCTTTCTGTCATTTGGGCTTAACTGGCCTCAGCTGTTAGACTTCCTTTAATATATCACAGCAACTGTCTCTGTTTCCGGGAATCACTGGGGAAAAAAAGGAGAGTAACTCCAGGGGGACCTTGTTCTGGCCTGAAGGCACTAGTCTTAGCACCTTAATCCTGTTGGTTTTCCTGATTATAATGTCTGATAACCATGTATCCTGAGTCAGTATCACTTGGAGCAGGATTATTCCAGGAAACTGACAGATCAGTCATGATTAGGATGTCAAAACTCCTTGTGTTCTAATTATGGATATATTTTATTTACAGAACCCAATAAAGTGCATGCCATCTGTGAGCCACAAGTGCCTGCCCCACACTTCTCTTGTTAATCTGATTTTGGTGGGATATGTGAGCATTGAGGAGAAACAAACAAAGCCACTTGGGGGAATCCAGTTTGGTACCCTTCCTTACAGTAGGGAAAGTTGAAAATTCCAGCCCCTTTCTAAATGTTTTGAAGTTATTTTATGGCTGTGACCATACATCACTGCTTTAAAAGTAGAAAAGGAAAGCACTTACGTGGACATATACAAACAAGATTGTTTCTGCATTATTATTTATTTGCAAGACTAATCAGTCTTAGTCTTCATTATGCAATAATGCATGGATTTCTAAATTTTTTATTTTAAGCCTTCTTAAGGTTGAAGTGCTTTCTAAACCCCACAATCCTCTGATGAAGATAACTGGATAATGCTGGTACTTGATCACAAATCACATGGATACAGTGGTATTTTTCCTTTCCTACAGAATTCTGCATGGTGCTAAGCAAATAAGAAATAATTTAAGAAATATTTTAAATTCATGTTTGAGCAGCTTTCAAAAACTAAGTAGTTCTTGCAGTAGTGAATTGCGTGAATTTGAAACAAAGTCTCTGGAAAAAGTCTAATTAAGTCTGTACATTTCTGTCCTAGCACTGATTTTCTGTGTAGATTGTCTGTCATTTAACATGGGAATAAGTCTTCAATTCAAGGTATTCAAGGCTATTGAGGTATTGTTAAAGCCATTTAATTTAGCCACCAGTTTTTGTGAAACATCTTCTACCCTCTATAAAATTTGCTATTGCCCAACAGATTAATAATTTAGTACAAGGAGAGAAATAGTACAATTATTTTGACCTTGGTTTAGGAAACTGAAAGATACAAAATACTTGCATTGAGCCAGTACACTGGACGTACTTGTCTTGCAGCATCCTACAGATCATGAATGGAAATTAATTCCTTTGCTCTGCTGTTGTCTTTGTTCTTTATAAAACAGGCAGTAAGAATATGTATAGTTACTTCAGATTTTTTGTATTTAAATTATTCATTTTCTTCTGCATGTTTTGTTTTAAATAGAAGTAGTTTTTCTAGCTATGATGAACAGACACACAAACCTATCCTATGACTTCATTTAATTTCATGGCAAAGTACTGAGAGAATGCCAGTTAGGCTTTTCTGTACAGAATCCTCTGATTTGAAGTTATATCACTAACATAGCACGTTTCTTTATAACCTACTCACAGTAAATGGAGTTAGAAGTCCTAGGTGCAAAGGCAGTGTTGCTAAAATATGGCTGGAGGGAAAATACTGTGCAATACATGAGCACCCTACTAATGAAACTGCATTAAGCATAGTAACATTAAGCAATGTCAAGCTACTGCCAGCTCGTTCAGATATGATCCTTAATAAAACTCATTAACTCGGTGCCTGGTGTTGCAGTCTTTAATCCTAAGAAGAGAGCATTCACAGCCTATGCTTTTCAGCAAGAGTGATGAAGAATGCTGCAGTGAGGCTTCCCTGAGGCATTAGGAATGTCTTGAAAAGGTATTCCCTCCAATGTCTCTTTGACAACTCGTGCTCTATCAAATACCAACAAGCTTAACAGAAAGCACAGAAAGTATTGTCTTTCACATTCAGTAGCCCTGGTGAAGAAGCAGTGAGGTCAGAATAGCTGTTGTGAACTATTTGTTTTCCAGTCTCTTAACTGCTCGCATTTAGCAGCTGCCGTTAGAGGTTATGTTCTTCAGACAGTTGCAGAAGTGGTGTTCTTAAAAAAACAAACCCTAAACGTGGCCATCATAATGTCTGCCTTTGTGTAGGGGTAGCTAGATGGGATGCCACAGGAAGTGATGGTCCAGTTAAATTTGAAACTGAAGCATGTGGAGAGTCAGGAATTTTCCAGCTAGACTGACAAATCAGCCTGCTATCTGGGAACTTCTCTTGAAATTTCCTGGTAAAAACTCTGAGATAGATGCATTTGACATTTTACTGCTTTTAGAGACTGGAAAAAAAATTGGGCATGGGCATCAAAGTAGGGTATAAAATAAATTATATTAGTTTAGAAGCTAAGTGAGTCATCAGGCCAGTCATTGCCCAGCTCAGGGGGCACTTTCCTTATTGCCTTGTCCTGGTAGTGCTTTTACACATGACTTCAGGTTTCCAGTCACTGAAAACAATTCCCTTATCTAGAAGACTGCTTACAATCAATAAGTAAATTCACTAATGGGATGGGTATTTTCAGAAAAAGTCCACAAGACAAACAAAATCAAGGTGCTGCTCTCTCAAAATGCAAGGTGTGGTTATCTCTGCACAACTTGTCTGTAATAGAATAGTAGGTAAGACTTCAGCTGAGGGAAAAACAGGTCAAGGTTTTGTTCTTCAGGAATTTCAGATTAGCAGTCTCCACTTCTGCAGATTGCATCCTACTAACATCTGGATGATGGTGCCTACTATTGAAGACACTGTCTAAACACTTAAGACTGAACTAAAAAAGAAGGTCAAGTGTAGACAACTGTGCTAATTTTGGCTGGGGTAGAGTTGATTTTCTTCACAGTGGCTGGTGTGGGGCTGTGTTTTGGATTGGTGCTGAACACAGGGTTGATAATATGGAGATGTTTTTGTTATTGCTGAGCAGTGCTTGCACAGAGCCAAGGCCTTTTCTGCTTTCCATGCTGCCACACTGGTAAGAAAGTTGGGAGGTCATGGGAGGTTGGAAGGAGACACAGCCAGGACAGGTGATCCCAAACTGACCAAAGGGATATTCCAGACCATATGACATCATGCTCAGTACATAAAGTGGGGAGGAAGAAGAAGGAAGGGGGGAGATGTTTGGAATGTTGGTGTTTGTCTTCCCAAATTACTGTTAGATGCGATGGGGCCCTGCTTTCCTGGAGATGGCTCAACACCTGCCTGCCCATGGGAAGCAGTGAATTACTTCCTTGTTTTGCTTTGCTTGTGTGTATACTTTTTCTTTCCCTATGAAACTGTCTTTATCTCAACTCATGAGTTTTCTGGCTTTTACCCTTCTGATTCTCTTCCTGATCCTGCTGGTGGGAGTAAGAAGCTGTATGGGGCTTGGTGGCTGGCTGGGGTTTAACCACAATAACAACTTCACAGGTTGCTCCCAATTTTAGACCTGCACATCCTCACTCTAGATCCAACTCAATGTAAAACACCAAGTCCTCCTTGAAGAGGTGATTGGAGACTATGTCTTCACTGCCAGCACAAGTGAATCAGTCACCTTTTTACACACAGTAGGAGTCTGTAGACGCAGGTCTTCTCTTTGCCCTCCTCCTAGATTTAGTTTTGAGGGGTTTTCTTTCTATATGGTCTGGGGATAGAAAGCATAGCCCTTATGCAAAAGGATCTACAGAAAACAGCTTCAAAATATTTTGAGAGAGATGAACTTTCCTGGTTCTCCACAGTATGACTTTTTATAAAAGCAGTCACTTCATATCCTATTGTGCTGGGGAAAAAAAAATCCCGAAGCAAGGTTTACTTTCACAGGGCACATAGTTCTGTCTGGTGGTCTGAAGAACACCCTTGCCAGTGAGAGCCTGCTGGGGCCTGCTGGTAAGACACACAGTTCTGGAACTCCACATCCCCAGGACACACATGTTGGAGCCAAGGCATCTCTGACACTTGGGTGCCTATGGCTGCCACTGAACTCAGGCCTCCAGAACAACAGACCTGAGAGGAATCCAGGCTATGAAATCCCACCTCAAGTATCCACAGCTGAAGTAGTTCTGTGGAAGAGCATTTATTTTGCTTTACTTGCTTCTTTTTGCGTCAGGCATTTTTAGGATGTAGAAGTAGTTCCTAGACCTGAAAGGGAAAAAAACAGCTGAGCTGATGTTTTTCACATTTTCAGAGCAATTCGAGAGGGCACTGCCAACTACCACCTGACCACAAACAGGAAAAACTGAGGTGCAGACTCAGCGGAGGGGATGGAGTGTGTCTCCGGGTCGGTGGGGGGCCGGGAGCTTGAGGCGGGAGGCCGAAGGTGAGGTGCGTCTTCACCGGCTGCGTGAAGAGTCGCGACAGCTAGCAAGGGGCAGGAACACGGAGGAGCGCTTCCCGAGGGCTCCTCGACGCCGGCTTCAGGCACGGGGACCGCCTGACGAGAGACGGCAGCGGCGGGACTGGGGAAGGGGAGGGGGCACGGGGCCGGGGCCGGGGCCGGGGCGGTGACTCAGCGCCGCCCGCAGCGCATAAAAGGCGGGCAGCGGGCAGAGGGTCTGGGCTGGACGTCGCGGTCGCGGGAGTGGGGGCGGGCGTTGGGTCTGCTGGGAACGCGCCCGCGGGACGGGGACGGCGCGATGGGGGCGGCCAGGCTGCGACTGCTGTGCGCCGCGGTGGCACTGCTGTGCGCGGCACCGCCGGGGCGTCCCGGCGCCGCGCTGCCCGCGGGCGAGGGGGACGCGTACGGGGTGAAACTGTGCGGCCGGGAGTTCATCCGCGCCGTCATCTTCACCTGCGGCGGGTCCCGCTGGAAGCGGCTCTCCCTGCTGGCGGTGGATCCGGCGCCCGCGGCCGGTGAGTGTCCCGGGAGCGCGGCCGAGGGGCGAGCGGACGGGCGGCGGCGGCTGTCGGGGCGTTTCGCTCCCTCCTGAGCCAGGGCCTGTGAGAAGAAACGGGCAGGATGGGAGGGAGCGGGGAAGGGCGAGCGCCCCGCGGTGCCGCTCGCTCTTCCCGCTCTGAGCCGCGGAGCGTCCCCGTCTCTCTCCCACTTTCCTTCTCGTTCCTGGTCGGCATTTCCCTTGACTTCGGGAAGGACACCCTCGTAATTCAGAGAGAAAGGCACGGGAGGTGCCGAAGCGTTATTAGCCGGGATAACGCGCGAAGTTTTTGGTCAGTTCGGGCACCGCGCTGCTGCTCAGGGCTGCGGCCAAGGCGCTTGTACTTTAAAATCCCACAAAATCCCACATTTCCCCTCTCTTGGCCGTGCAGGGAGGGCTGATGCGCCCTGGGGAGCGGTGGGGAATGCCCCTCGCTATGGCTTTGCTCCTTCTCAAAGCTCACTAAGTCCTCTGCTGCGGGGGAAGCCCAGCTCGGGTGTCCCTCCCTGCCAGGAGCTCTGACGCCGTGGTCCCCGGCAGAGCTCCCGGGGGACGTGCGGGACCGCCATGGATGTGGAATCGCGCGGGATTTTATCACTCGCTTGTGCTGCTCTACACCAAAGAGTTGGCGCGTTGGAGGATGGATAGGACTCTGGTGCTTCAGCTTGTCTTGCTTCTTAGACAGCAAGAACTGCTTTAGGGGTCTGTGTTGAAACACTTAATGGGTAAAATATTCCTCAGAGTTTTGCTGTCGCATATCCGATGCCCAGTATGTTGAGAAAGTGTTAGCAGATGTCTGTTGGGCTGTGTTGGCAAACTACAGTAGCAGTGAGGTAACAGTAATTTTAAGTGGTGACTCTCATTTATGTCGATATTTTGAATTGTGAAAATAATATTTAATAAGGACAAAAGTTGGAATTAAGGCTAAAATGTGCAATGGAAGAGATTTTTTTTTAATTAAACACACCGTTAATGAAATAACCTAAGACCTCAGGCAGTTAATGAAACTAGTATTCTGGGTTTCCTGGGTATTGAGTAAAAGATAAAAGTTACCTTTGTAATTATAACAAATTATTTGTCTGCAGCCTCTGCGAGGATTATGTGCTTTCCCAGCAAACTTTGTTTTCCTTTTATTAACTGCACCTTCTGAGAACAGCAATCACTAAGGAGCTCCCACTGTGCTGCATGATGTCTAACTAAAGTCTTCCCCACCCCAAAAGACTATTAAATGGCAGTCACTCTCTAATTAGTAAAGTAACTACAACCACTTTTATTTTTGTACATACTCAGGCAGCTGTTCTATCTGAAAGTTAGCTACTATATACTAATTAGCCATATTAAAGTGCATATAACATTCACTGGATGGTCTCGTTTTCTTTCAGCTTTCTGAAACAAAAAAAACATATTAACAGTATTAAGACCACAAGACAAAGACTTACTTTGGATTCTTTTTAATTTAAGGATTGAATAAACCACTTTCCTTCACATTAGCTGTAGTAAGCAATGGCACTTCCCTTGGAGAATTAAAATAAAGAGAAACAGTATGAGGTGAAAGGAAGTAGAGCTAGATTTTTGAGAACACAGTGAGATGAAGCACATCATAAGTAAATTCTGCAAGCCTCTGCTATGCTTTGAAAAGAAATGAGTGAAAAGCATCAGCTAAAAATAGCTTAGAAAAATGCAATCTGTAAGAAGCAGTTTACATATGATTTTTGCTTATTTAGTCCTTCCTACATTTGTTCTTCACACAATGCTGATGTAGTTCATGTGCCACACGACATAGCTCTGTGATATTTCTGGATACATGCCTTTACAACAAAACTTTGTTTCTGTGGAAAAATTGAGATTTCTCTGTCAGTAACACTGCAGTTGTGATAGGATGCCTTTACTTTTGTCACAGTTGTAGCTGTGTACTCTCTGTGTCTAACAGGCAGTACAGACTTTAAAACACAGATTCCACTAAAAGTAAACTACAAGTGTGGAGACTCTGAAGTGCCAGATAATAGTGCTTCACTTGATACTAATTGAATAGGTTTTATTGCTATTTCTTAGGATTGTATGCTCTTTTAATGCTCCTACAGTCTGAACTTAAAATTGTCTTCTCTTTAAACAGGTGCTGTGCAAACAGAAAGTAACAAACTACTTGGAAACTTCAACCTGCAATCAGTTTTAGATCCTGAAGTGGAACAGCTGCAGAGAAGCAGCCCAGTTCTTGGATGGGAGGCATTTAAGGACTTGTATAGTTTAAATTACTTTAATGAATATGTACCTGTGGGAGACAACTTCAAAGAACTTGTTCGCCAGGTAGAGGAAGTTGTTCGGAAGGACAGGGGAGGAACAGGAAATCCAAATCCCATGGAATCAAGCAGTTATCTTTGGGCCGGGTTTCCGAGAAGAAAACGGGAGTCTCTGGGTTTGGCAGGAATGTGTTGCAAATGGGGCTGTACAAAAGCTGAAATCAGTACTATATGTAGAGTTTAAAATTCTCTCTGCACTTATGCATGCAATCAATGTTTGTTGCAGTGCTGTCTGATTGAATACTGTATGGAGGAAGAAAACTCTCACTGTATTTTATCTTGTCTGTATGTGCCAGTCAATATTGCTGGTTTTCTTTAAAAAAAAAAACATAACAAAAAAACCCACAAGTGTAGTTGTAATGACTTTGTTTTGCTGCAGTAACTTCTAATCTATATTTTTTACTAAGTCTTTTCATTTTAATGTTGAGCCTTTACACTTATATTACAGATGTATTATATCTTTGTAACACTTTAGGAAGAATTTCAATATTTCATTAAAATGTAATTATACTAAGTGTTATGGAATTACTCTTCGACTGTCAACAGAACAAACGTAGAATGGCTTGCGTTGGAAGGGACCTTAGAGACCATTCTAGTTCCACCCCTCTGCCATAGACAGGGTCACCTTCCACTAGATCAGGTTGCTCAATGCCCCATCCAAACTGGCCTTAACCACTGCCAGGCATAGGGCACCCCCAACTTCTCTGGGCAACCTGTTCCACCATCTCACTACCACCGCAGGGAAGAATTTCTAAGCTAAATTTCTCCTCTTTCCATTTGAACTTATCACTGCTACTCCTGTCACTAAGTTTCTAATGAAGAGTCCCTCTCCAGCTTCCATGTAACACCCAACAAAATTCTTGAAAGGGGATCCATGTTACAAAGCTGTACAGAAAGAATATTTTGCCAGTTGAAACTCCACTTGACACTGACTCATCTTGCCAATTAGTTTGACCCCACTTTTTCCATTTCCTTGTAATTGCTGAATTGTTTTTATGCAGTATTGTCTTTCTAGAAGCTTTACCATAACATGACATTTAAAATATGAATATTTCTTCATATTCATGAATGGAGTTAAACAAGTTAGAGTACTAACACTTCTGTTATTCGTTGTTTACTTCCTCATTTTTCCCTATCACTGCTGAGTGAGAGTGTGGGATGTGTATCAAGCAACTTACTGTACAGATATTCAGACCTATTACTGTGTGTTCTTATGGTATGCTGGTCTACACTAATTCAGATTTTAAGTCGCAAATTGTTACTGTGTTTATAGATGGCTAATTTCATCTTTGTAGTTCCTAATCCTTTTGCTTCCTGTCTGTTTTTCTCAGCTGTATCAAGTAGCATTCTAGCTATATTGTTCAAGACATGAGGGTTGTTTTTTTTCTGACCTCTATGATGCCCATGGTAACTTATCTTTGTAGCAGGAGTTGACTCAGAGTATGCTTCATGGCTTAAACTGTGGAGTTGTTACCTTTGGCTTTGTTCTTCAAATTGTCTTTTGACAAGTATTCCTTGATTGGACTACTGCTTCCTGCAATTATCACATCACTTCTTTATTCCTTTTCCTAAGATGATATTGTTACTGCAGCAATTAGGCATCTATCAATCTTTTTATTTTTTTAAAGACATCAAATTTATTCAGTAGAAAGAGGGCAGAATGGATATTCACTATGAAGGCTGTTATCTTCTAGATGAAAAGCACCATCCCTTCTGTCATTGTAACAACAATCTACTCTAAGATACTTTTTGCCACTCTGAGTGGAAAAACTGTAAAATTCTGCTATAGTTTTGGGAGGTTTTTTTGCAACAAGTTAGCTAAACTTCTGTAGGTTGGGTTCCACCAACTTCACCTCACAAATAGTTTTGGTTTTGGAGACTCCTAGTTTATATTAGGATTTCCTGGAAGAATACACGAGAAGTTTAAGGGGAAGTATTCCTTATTCTTGAGCAGGATCAAGGGCTTTTGGAGGTAAGATTTCTTAGTAGTAAGGTGAAGAATAAGAGTTACATAGAAACCCTAAGAAAAGGAACAATGTAAAAATGCCATGCTTGATGAAACTGAAAATTAGTCTGTATCCATTGTTTGTTTTGCTAGAAAACCATCTCCCAAGCTTTTAAAAAGGAATATTGGGAAAGGTGAATATGGTGATAGCAGGCTTGAGTGAAACAAAGATGTAGTTAAAACCATAAATTTGTGAGCTTAACTCTTGAATGGAGCAATCTGAAGTTTAACTTGCTGGGTTACATTTCAAGTGGAAATCAATGTTTGAGAGGAACTGTTTCAGGCTGAAATGGGATTATAAATAGAAAAATCAGTCATTATCTAAAATAAACAGGCTTTTTTCAGAGGTATGAGTCAACCCAGAGAAATGGTGAAATTTGTGTTTTCATTTGGTTTTTTAATAGGCATCACAGTCTGTAACAGCTTTAGCAGGTCAGCCACAGCACAGGCAGAGGGCACAGATAGAAATTAAGCCTATTTCAGAGTAAAGAAGTATTTGTGTATGTATTGTAGTGTGCAAAGGTTTTCTTTCTTTTAAAGCAAATTGAGTGTTCAAAAACTGAAGATCTTTTGTGATGCTAGACTATATTTTATAGTGGTTTCTTTGCAATATAGCCAAAGGTGACAATTACGTGTCACTTGATTGCAGTAGGTCTAGAGGGGACCATCTGCTTACTGCTCACATGACTCAGTGTCCAAAGATACTTTTTTAAAACCAGAAGCAAGTCTTTTATGTAAAATGAGGTATCTGACTAATAGGTAGAGGAAGCAAACACACTTTGAAGCAGACAGCTAAAAACGTAAAATAATGACTGAGTTGGGTATTGATCCACATAGCAGACCACAAGGACACTGTCTTGGCTGAAAGCACCTTGGGGAGTGCTGCCACATGTATCTAGCAGCATAAATGTGAGCGCAGCTGTTCAAGGCAGCACACTGTGCTTACCATCACAACTGTTCAGAAACATACACTTTTTTACAAGGCAGAAGTTGAGTTTTTTCACCCATTTCTTTCACAGAGAAATTAGGTATTGAGAAAAGTATTGTTTGAGCAACTTGCTGCTTACGGGGTTTGCTTGGAGTCCTGTTGTTGTAGTCTTAATGCACAGGAAGTGCCCAATTTTTGGGTAATCTAATAAGATATGTGAGCCATCTTCTGAGCAATATTTTGAGTTCATGAGTAAAAAATGATAAACCAGCACATTTCCATATTAGCAGTGCCATTTGTGTGTTCATGAGTATTCTGGGTAGTTTGGGGAATTTTTTTCACTGTGGGGGTATTTGTAGTGTGTTATCTGTGGGTGTATGTGTAGTGTGATTCAGGTCTGATTATAAGCTCCTTGAACAATGCCCAAAGGCATGGGAATGATTCACAGCAGTACGTAACAACAGGTTTTCCATCTCTGTTGCCTGCTACTGCCTTCCTTTAAACCTCATAGAACTTTCATGCAAAGCATTATGCAATGTGTTGATTGTGGTATAGTTAGAGCCAAGGACCTCAAATAGTGATGATGTGTAACTTTGACCAGAGATATAATACTAAATGTGCCACAGAGAACTGTCTAGCAAATCCCAGAGACCTGAAAGATCTCTCTTTCATCTCTCTCCTAAACTCTGGTCCTATTTGGTTCTTTCTTTACTTTGCCAGTTGTTTAAACTAGAGAGTAAAACATCTAAATTTCTGAGTTATTGTGAGATGTGCTTCTTTTTTTTTTTTTTTTTTTTACCTTCACTGACAGGCAGGAAAAAAATCTTTATTTCTACCTTCTGACAGAGCTGGAGACAGACCTAGCATTAGCACTCTGAGATTTAAGAAGATTTTCTGAATCTACTGTCTTTCCTCCTCAGCAGGGAGCAGAATCTCAATAGAAAATGCTGATTCCTTTCCTACCCAGCAGAACAGAAGCTGGGTAAACTTGTATCTCATCTGCTGCTCTGCAGTCACTCACTCGTGTCAGCAAGTAGCTGAAAGAGGGTCCTTTCCTCATTTGTGCCACACGGCCATTCTGTCATTGCACAGCTTTTATGTATCTTGGGAACAAACACCTGATATGTTGGCTTCTTTCCCTGGATTTTAGTTCCAACTTATTTGATTGTTAGACTGCTTTGTGCCACCTGCTTTGTGGCCAGGTCTTGATATTAGATAGTGCACTGTAACAGTGTGCTTGTCCAGTTCTCTTTTCTTGCCTGCAAACTCTAGAGAACCAGCACTAATGTGAAGGAAAGTAAATTCTCTAGTCTGTGCATCAGCCTCTTTTTCTTTGCCTAAGCTCCCTGCTACTTACATTTTTCCTTGAAGTTTCCTATACTTGATTTGCATTGCTAAATGTTCCTCAGCTGCAGCCTACTTTCTTATTTTAACCTTAGAGTGTGTAAAGCCAGAGGTTTCTCCATGATTTTTCAGGAGCACATCATTGTTAATGCCACTGAGTGAGGTAGTGTATCTCTCATGTACAGAACCTCAGATGACAACAAAAACCTGGCTGCCAACCTTTGGGCTTTGAAAAATTCTGGATACCACCCTTCAAAGTAGGCCAGCCAAACAACCTCCAGACAAGTATGCTGCTTTGTCTTTTCTGGGTCACCTTCTGTGGATTGTAGTGTTTGACCTGAGATGCTGCAGCTCCTTTCAGTTTCTGTGAGATCTCAGCCAGCAAGTGATGCATCCCTTCTGGCACTGAGGAGTGCCTCATCAGGAGCTACTTTGTCCAACAAGATGAAAGCAGAGTGGAGCAAGATCACACTTTCTGCCTCTGAACCAGAACAAGGTCACCATGATATAATTCCTCAGTGGCTTATTTACTGAAGTTGCTACACATATGTGACAGCAACCTGGTGTAGTTTGCCTCTGACCATATGCTTCTGGCACTGCAGAAGTCATTGAGTTCAGCAGCAACTAGTCTTGACACCAAATGCCACTGTTGAAATACTTCTCTGTCTATACAGCTTTGCATCTTTTTGTCCCTGTGTCAAGAGATGAAATCTGAGGTGTTTCCCATGCAGCAGCATAGTGCAACGATACGCTTTTCCTCCTGCTCGTTTTTTATTTGAGATAGTAGCACTGGGCTGAGGGCTCCCATGCAGGGCCATGCTGCCCACAGCAGTCTGTGCAGAGCTTCTGAGAGGCAGAGACTTCAGTAGGCAGGTCAAAATTCCTGTCCTGCTCACATGTGGTAGGTGTTGGCCCTGGAGCCATTCAGTAACATTGGTAAGTGGCTGGTGTGTTCTGCAATGGACTGATGACAACTAGGACACCTTCCTGGCTTAAGGGATGTTAAGACTCATCCCACGGATCCTTCCAGCCCTCAACAATGTGGGCCAACTTACTTGAATAGCAATGCAACTTTTCAGAACCTCTTAAGGTTTGTGGCAGTATTGCTGCACTTCCATTGCTGAGCAGAGTTGGGTTCTTTCCACACCTTGCCAGATTTCCTACATTCCCAACATTCATCTGAAGTCTCTCAGCACTAGTTCTTTTGGGTCTATTTCACCCTCATTGAGTGCTGCAT